TTTCTTGGCAAGATTTGTTCAGGAGGCTTGCCATTGCCTTCCCTTGAGGCTGAGAGAATGTGATTTGCCCAAGGTCATCCAGTGGGTTTCATGACCAAGCTGGGAATCAATTCCTGGACTCCGGAGTCATCATAGTCCAACACTCAAATGACTATGCCAAGCTGGCTCTCTGTACTGCTTTTTAGTTCTGCTACAAGACACTGAGAGTTAAAAAAACAGATATGCAAAAATAACTAGGACTGGAGAGTATCAAGCTGGATCTGGCGTGCTACTTTCAATTTTGAGGCCTGTTATCCTCTCATCTCACAGTATTGTTATGAGGATAAACTGGGGGAGCAGAAACATGACATATATCATCATGAGTTCCTTCAAGAGAAGTATAACTATGCCTTTGCCAAAGATGAAGAGGCCACCAATGTTCATGGTGGACTTTGGGCTACTTCTCTTTTAGGTAGTAAACATGAACTTGGAATACACTGTGTTCCACTTCAGACTGTACAAGAAAGCTCACTAGAACTAATAATCCAGTATAACAAGATTCCTACCACAGGAAAGACCAACACTTCAGGGGAAAGCTTTGCAGCCTAGGATCTCCTCTTCACTATGCTGATGTGCTATGTGATGAGAGTTTTTCCTTTTTTAATGAGAAACCCATCAATCCTGTGAGACCCCACTTACAGTCTGATGTGTTACAATTCATGTCACATACTGACCAAGAACTGGGCCTCAGTTTACAGTAAGGAAGACTAACAGTTGAATTTGATAGAGCCATCAGTTCCACTCAGGACTGTAATAATCCTGCAAATACAATTCCTTGGAATTAATCCCTACTGAAGGGATAAAGGCAACAGGTCATGTGTCCTGTAAGCAGAAAGTCTCAGATGTCTTCCAGTACAGCTGGGAAGGACTTGTGCCTAAAATCCCTGAAGTCAGTCTAGTCAGCACTGAGTTAGATTGACTGAGGGTCTGTCTGACGCAACTTACAGCAACTCTTTATGTTCCTAACTCACCTTTCCAAGTTAAAAATCCCAGGTTTTGAGTGCACAGCCATGGAATGGGCTTAAGTGTTCATTCTGCTGTAGTTGAGATAGTACCACTCTAAAAGTGCCATATAAATAGTAATTTGCATTATTACTACTGATTTATTACTTGTGAATGGAGTGAAAATTCTAAGGCAATTCAGCTAAGGTTGGGAATATACCTTCCTAGGAGGCACCATATGTCCAGTGGGATTTTAATACAAAATCCATGCTGGAACTATTGGTGTTTGGCCAGCATGGCTGTGCTACTATGTGGGGCCTCAAGTCTATTTGTACAACCATTGAAGAAATCCATAGATGACACATTTACCCCTTTTCCCCTGCTCCAGCCTTATGGCCCTCATCCAATACTCAGTGACAATGTGGGACTCTCTCCCTCTACTGGAGGGTTGTACCTTATGACATCTGTAATCAGTAGACAGGTAGAAAAGGTGGTGAAAAGAATGGTGGAAAATATTTCCTCTTAGGTGGAGCTTAGTAAATGCACTGCTTCCTGGAACCTGGCAGGACCAGAACAGGTAAGAGTCCTTCTACATAGGAAGATCACATCAGTCATATTTAAATCCTGGCCCTGCCTTTTGGGGCCAAGTAGAGTACTGCACTACACTCTTATAGTGCTGCTATTCCATTTTTACTGCTCTGGCTGCCTCCTGTCACATTCTGGGATGTGCAGTTTAAGGAGGAACATTTAGAATTTTCAGCTAGAGAGCTCTTAGGCCTCACTGAACTACGAATCTCAGAAAGCAACAGGAGGCAGCCATAGCAGTAAAAGTGGAATAACAGCACTATAAGATGAAGACGCTGACTCTGTTCACTGCAAGATCGGCAGGTTGGCAGTTTGAGGCCCAGGTGCTGCATAATGGGGTGAGTTCCAGCCTCTGCCAACCTAGCAGTTCGAAAGCATGCAAATACAAGTAGATAAACAGGTACCACTTTGGTGGGAAGATAAACAGCGTTCTGTGCAATCCTGCTGGCCACACGACCACAGAGTACTCCTCGGACAATGCTGGCTCTTTGGCTTAGTAACGGAGATGAGCACTGCCCCCAACGGTAAGACACGATTTGACAATCTTGTCAACAGGGAATACCTTTACCTTTTTAAGAGTGTAGTGTGGTAATCTACCTAGTACAGGGGTAGGCAACCTTTCCCCTTTAAGGGCCGAGGGACTTCAGCTCCCAGAATCCCAGGAGCTATTGGCCAACATGGGACTATTGGCCAACATGGCTGAGGCTTCTGGGAGCTGAAGTCCCTTGGCCCTTAAAGGGGAAAGGTTGCCTACCCCTGACCTAGTAGAAGAACAAACCAGTCTAAGATACCTTACTCCACTAAAGAAGAAATCCTGTGTTTACTCCTATTTTCACATTACAGGAGGGAACGCTAATACCTATAAATGGTAACATACCCAGTGCTGGACTATGAGACAAAACAGCAGAGATGAACCCAGGCTACCCATAATTCAGCTTTTTACACCAGCTTCCATAAGGATACTATTCTAGAACTTTACTCTCTTACGAAGGGCCTGCACAAAATGCCAGAAATAATCCACCTTGAGACCACTTTAACGGTCCTGACTCAATGCTAGGGAATCATGGGAACTGTAGTTTATTGTGGCTCCAGAGCTCTCTGACAGAGAAGGCTCAGTGTCTCAGAAAAAACTACAATTCCCATGATTCCCTAGCACTGAGCCAGGGCAGTTAAAGTGGTCTCAAACTGGATTATTTCTGGCAGTCTGTACAGGCTTTCCACTTGTTGCAGAAGTACTGGAACAAATCCTGTATTGGTGCCAGCAGATCAACATGGCCCAATTGTCTTGTGTTAAAAACAAAACAAACACTGCTCAGCTCCCAGAAGGAGAATGAAAATTAATGAAAGAAAACAGATCACAAGACAGAGCTGGTTCAGAGAGCAATATCTGAGAAACACTGTTCCCATGACTCACAAGTCTTTCAACCCATGCATCAAATTGTTGCACAGTAATTTATAGCACTAAATTCATTTGAGAGAAGAATGCTAAGGATACTAGGGAGGGCCAAGAAGACAAGCAAATGGGTCCTAGAACAGATCAAGCCAGAAATCTCCTTGGAAGCCAAGATGAGGCTGTCGTACTTTGGTCACATCATGAAAAGGCATGATTCATTCAAAATAAAATTACTCTAGGAAAGGTGGAGGGAAGTAGAAAGAGAGGAAGACTGTATGCTAGATGAATGGATTCTATAAAGGAGGTAAGGGGTATGAATTAGCAGGACCTGAGCAGAGCAGTGGAAATTAAGAAGTCTTGGAGATGTCTCATCTACAGTGTTGCCATGGGCCAAGATCAACTTGAGGGTGATTAACAACAACAACAATTTATGGACAAACTTTAACTGCAAATCCAGGGAGGGCAGGGGGACCCCATCCTTTCCCTGTAGGCTGGCCATATCCTTTAAAATTAACATGATTTAGA